ATGTCTTCTTTAGATGTGCTGAGCAATTATTTCATTATTGTTGTCATTTCATTTTTTAGCTGAGAGATTATTTCTGATCTGATGTCTTCTGTGGCCTGATGGAGTTGTTTCTTTACTTCCATTGCAATCATTTCAGCAATTTCAGATGTGTGTTTACCAAGTTCTCCTATGTCAAAGTCTCCTGGACTTGTTCTGAGTGGGGTGGGGTTCTGAGATTGCATTTTGGTCCTTCGTCTTGTCATATTTGATGCCAGAGGCAGAGAGTGTCCAGTCTACCTCTTCCCTGGCAGCTCAGCAAAGGTTGCTAGTGTCCCTAGCTTTCCTGGTGGTCACAGTTGCCCCTCAGTGGCCACCGAGATGGGCTGTTCAGTCTGGGATCTTCACAAACCGCCTGATCCAGTGTTTCCCGGCAGCTCAGGGTGTGCATATCACCAAGAAGCAGGCTGCACTGGTGGCATGATCATGGACCACTTGGTCTTGTGTCCCCAGGCAGTTCAGGGCACAGGCAGAGCCCAGACATGAACTGCAGGGTCAGCAGTTCATGGTCCACCTGATTCAGTGTCTCCAGGCAGCTCAGGGCGCACATAGGAGCCACATGCGGACTGTACTGTCCATGATCACAGACCACCTGTTTCTGTGTCCTCCAGGAGGTCAGAATGCATGCAAAGCCGAGAAGCAAACTGCAGTGTCAACAGTTTGTGGACCACCTGATCTAATACCTCAGGTGGTGCAGGATACACACAGGGAGGGCCCAAACGGAAACCCCAGTGGTTCATGGGCCCTCTGACCCAGTATCTCCTGGCTGCACGGGGCACATGGAGGGCAGAGACACAGACTGAAATGGTTGCAGGATTGCAGGTGACCTGCTGTGTCCCTGGGAAGTAGATGGGATATATCTGGTTCTCTTAGCACTCAACTAGGAACCATGATGTCAGTGTATTGCAGACTGCCTGATTCCATGTCACCAAGCAGGTCAGTTTGCGTGCAGGAGTCAGAGTGGGCTGCACTGGCAGTGATCACGGACCACCTGTTTCTGTGTCCTTATTCCACTTTTAAATAGAAACTGGCTAATCCTTCCAGAAGATTGCATCCCACCCTCATCTGGGAGAGCTGCCAATCATTGCAGAGCATTTGGGTCAAGGTTGCAATAGAACTTGATGTGTTAGGCTTCTTTACCTCTTCACAGAAAGGACGAACATATAACTTCTCACCCAATAAAAGGGAGCACTCTGAAAGCCAAAGAAGCCCTATAAATTGTGCTGGGACGACAGGCAAAATCTGGAAGTTTGGTCATACTTCTAGGGAAATATCTGCAGGTAGAACAAAGATATTTCTTAGAGCCTGAAGATATACAGAACACAAAAACTTGTGGGGGAATGAGAGTGGTTTACTTTTAGTATCATCTTGTCCATAATCAGTACTCCATGTGCTCTTGGTGTTTTTATTTTCTGGAAAAAAATGGTGTTGCTAGACTACATTAACAGGAAAAAGAAAAGCATGGTGAGAGTATTGGGTCCAATGACCGATTATGTTAGTGAGACTATACTCTTTAGTAACAGTGATTAAGGCCACAGGGTTTGGAGTCAGAAGAGACATCAGTTCAAACACCAGTTCTGCCCCTTACTGGCTGTACCTGTACTGCCTTGAATAAGAGGCTTCTTGACCTCTCCAAGGCTCAGTGTCCTTTAAAGAATAGGGAATGTTATGCCTCATAGCGATGTCCTCCAAAAGCCTCATGTGCTTGTACATGGGGATTTTGGGAGGTGGCTGCATTGTGGATGTGTGATGCTGTATTATGGGTGTGCAATAACTGAATTAGTCCACTGATTGGTTTAGCATAGTTCTGGGTGTGGATAATGAGAAGGCCCATCCTGGGTGTGGGTGATTCCAACGGAAAGGTTTGTAGCCTGAATGGAATAAAAAGGGAAAGGGAGGACAGCTGCTTGCTGCTGTCTGCATACTCTGCTATAGACTATTTATCCTGTGCCATGTCCTGTCTTAGAGTCAGCCAACTATGGGTTGAAACCTCTATAAACTGTGAGCTAAAATAAACATTTCTTTCTTGAACTTGTGGTTCTTGATTTTTTGTTTCTAGCAACAAGGATATGCAAGGTTGTTGTGAAAATTCAATCAGATAATGCAAACAGTGCAGGGTGCATATTTAGCAATCACTGAAAAGTGGCTATGTTGCTTTTCAGTCCTGAGATTCAGGTCCTAATGTAGGTGAAGGGAGTACAGGTGAGATTCTGTACCAGACAGGTGTATGAACTCACCATCCTGGCTACCTGGGCCCCAACTTTGTGCTTAGAACTGATAATGAGATAAGGGCATATGATTTTTACTTCTTGAGCCCCACTTTAGGTTAGTGAAGCTGCAGAGATAAGGCTACCCTGAGTAACTATGGGAGGTTGGTAAGGAGCAATTAGAAAGTACCTCGTTGAGCATGGTCAACCGAGAGGCTTTGTGGTAAGCTCTTTTCTTCACTTCTATGATCCCTCACTTCTACCCCCATGATGTCTTTTCAATTCTTTTCACCTTGCGAGTTACGGCTCAAATCATACCTCCTCTGTAAAGATGCCCTGACCATCCCAGCCTACACTGACTGCTCCCTCCTAGAGTCTCAGGATCGCCAACTAAAAAATGTGCATACTATTTATTACTCCTCCACGGAAGGGTTGTGTCTTTTGGGAGTATATCGGTGCTAGCTCTCCATTCAATTGTATTGAGACAGGATCAGGGCCACATCTTACTCTTCTTTACTTTCTACCATCCAGCACTACAATAAGCACCATAATAACCACTTTTTAAATGTTTATAATTTTGTGATACATAATGATATGGTATATATTATACATACCACATCTTGATCCTTTTGTTGAGCTTTTTATGGTACTTTGTTTCAGGTGCTCTGATGTGTATGTTTTACACATATGTTTAGTCTTCACCCAAAAAAGGGCAAGAAGGTGGCAGGAATGGGAAGAGAAAGAAGTATATCCTTAATACAAGTCAAACATATACCTCTTTTGATTGCAAGGGGAGCTATGAAGGTGAAGTGACCTATCAGAGTTACTGAATTTCCTTGGGATGGGAGGAAACAGCCAAACCTTTATATTTCCTGCTTCTCAAGTCACTGGATGTGACCCATCTCAGGAAGTGCTTGGTGTCTTAGGCAAGGTAGGTCTCTGCAGCTCAGGTAGTACCTGAAGGTGCTAATGGCTGACAATTGGCAGCTGACTATAGAACTAGCAGTGGAAGAAGCAAGTGTGCCCTGCAAAAAGGTTCTAGACACTCTGGCTGCATGTCTATTATAGTGTCTTCCTTGGACAGTACTTTAGATAGCATGGCAGTTATTTTATCTGAGCGCATGCTTGTGGCTTTTCTTTTATTATTATGCAGAGGTCAGGTAGCAAGGAATTTTGTATTCCTTTATAGGAAATATTTACTTTTGTCAGGTATTATGATCTCTACATTTCCATTGATCTTTAGCTTTCCTATGATCTTTCCATGTGTGTACTCTGAATCAAGGGAATGTCTGTACTTGATACTTGGCAGAATTGTCACATTGATTCCTTAACCTGTAATGTGAGGGCTGTTACTGTTGTAAAGGCTAAATGGAAGCCATTATTGCATTTACCTATTAAAATAGTAAACTAAAACCAATGTTGTATCCTTGGAGGGATTATAGAGATTAATGCAACTATCAAGGACTTGAAGGATACACAGGTGGTAGTTCCCATCACATCTCCATTTAATTCTAACATTTGCCCTGTGAAAAAGATGAATAGGTCTTGGAGAATAATGGTGGATTACTGGAAGCTGAATCAGGTGGTGAATCCAATGCAGTTGCTATAACAGTTGTGGTTTTCTTGCTAGCTCAGATTAACACATCCCCTGGTATTTGGTATGCAGCTGTTGATTTTGAAAATGTCTTCTTTTCCACACTATCCATAAGGCCCATTAGGAACAGTTTGCTTTCATCTGGCAGGGCTAGGAATACACCTTCACTGTCCTACCTTGGGTTATATTAACACTCCAGGCCTGTGTCAAATCTTAGTTCACAGGGATCTTGATTACCTTTTTGTCTCACAAGGTTTCACACTGGTCCATTATATTGATAATATTATGCTAATTGGACCAAGTGAGTTGTTAGTAAAGCATTTGAGAGCCAGGGCATTGGAAATAAATCCAATTAAAATTTAAACATTAGTCCTCGTACCTTAGTGAAATTTCTAGGAGTCCAATGGCCTGGGCCCTGTAGAGGTATCCCTTCTAAGATAAGTTGTTGCGTCTGGTTGGCCCATAACCAAAACAATAAATAAATAAATAATAAAAAGTATCACACAACACCTAGTAGGCTTATTAGGATTTTGGAGGCATCACGTTCCTCACTTAGGTATTTTACTCTGGCCCATTTATCTAGTGACTCAGAAAACTGCTACTGTTGAGTGGGACCCAGAACAAGATAAACCTCTGCAGCAGGTCCAGGCTGTATGGTCCAATACATCCAATAGTACTTGGAATGTCAGTGCCAGGTAGGGATGCTCCTTGGAGTTTCTGCCATGTCCCCGTAGTTGCAGTGGAGGCCTTCAGGATTTTGCTGCAAGATTGTGCCATCATCTGCAGACAACTAGTCTTTCTCTGAAAAACAGACTTTGGCCTGCTACTTGGCCATAGTGAAAACTGAACATTTGACCATGAGACAACAAGTTACCATGTGATCTGAGTTGCCTATTTTGATGGTTGATTGATTGTGTATATTTGAGTAAGAGAAGCTCAACTAAATTGGCTCAGCAATTCCACACCCTAGGGTATAGAAAACCTATGCTAGGGCTACTTGTCTCCTGGATGGTGTAAAAGGGAAATGAAGAAGGACAGATCTCCTTCTGTTTCTTTGGAGGAGCTCCAGTCTTTGTCTTCACCTTGAGTGTCATCTCTTGGATTCCAGCACAGACTTTTCAGGCTTCCACCACACACCCTTCCACCTTCCATTGCAGACCCATCAGCTTCCTGATATGGACTTGCATGGGACAATACAGTGAGCTCCAACTCTTTGACAGGATCCTTTAGATCTCCAGTGAACAGACACTCTTCCACATCTGACTCTGTGAGTGGCCACTGTAAGCCAATCTTCTAAATTCTTACATATTTGTATATCTTGTATTGTATGTTTCTCTAGTAAACACTGACTGATTCACCTATAATGAGCCTTGGTATTGATCCACCAAGTCGTAAAGTTGGAGGTACAAATCAATAGTCCATAAATGGAAGGGGTATATATGTAGCTAAGCCAGAGCAGGTACAGAGAGCACAAATCAGTTACATGAAGAAGTTGCCCAGATGCCCACGGTTTCTACTCTTGCTATATTGCCTTCTCTCTCCTCACGTGGGCCTCATGGGGCATACCATATGATGAGCTGTCAGAAGAAGGAAAGGCAAGGCTCTGGTTTACAGAGGGTCTACACATTATTCAGGCATCATCCCCAAGTGGACAGCTGGAGCATTACATCCCCTTTCTAGGTCATCCTAGAAAGGCAGCAGTGAAGAGAAATCTTCACAGTGGGCACAACTTTGGGCAGTGTACTTGGTAGTAAATTTTGCCTAGAAGGAAAAAATGACTAAATGTGTGACTGTATACTGATTCATGGGGTGTAGCAAATTGTGTGGCCAGGTGGTCAGGAACTTGGAAGGAACATGACTGGAAATTGGTGACAAAGATATTGAAGAGGAGTTATATATATGTAGATAGAGAATTATTTTCTTATTCTCTTTAATGGTTTGAGCAATCTTTCATTCTTCCATCTAATAATCTGAGCAATGTAGTTGAGGATAGCGATATGTAATGTAACAACCACTGTTCATTCGTATTATTTTGTCTTGAGACCCTGTATCACTTTGAATGTTCTTGCTTTGATTTGTTTATGTTTCTGATACCTGTATGCTGCTACTGTTCTATTTTTTGTTTGTTTGTTTCTCATTTACTACTTTCTTTAAAATAAAAAAAAAAGATAGAGATAGATATCTCCACATGGGCAAGGGGTGTGAAGACATTTGTACCCCGTGTAAACATTCACCTAAAAGTGATCTCAGCAGAAGAGGACTTTAGCAATCAAGTGGCTAGTGTAACCAGTTCTGTGGATAGCAATCAACCTCTTTCTTCAGACACTACTATCATTGCCGAATTGGCTCATGAACAAAGTGGCCGTGGTGGCAGGGGTGGAGGTTATTCATGGTCAACAGCATGGACTCCCACTCACTAAGGCCACTGCAGAATGCCCACTATGCCAACAGCAGAGACCAACACTTCGTCACTAATATAACACCATTTCCTGAGTGATCAACCTGCAACCTGGTGGCACATTGATTCTATTGTACTGCTTCTATCATGGAAAGAGCAGGGCTTTCTCCTTACTGGCATAAGCACTTATTCTGGATATGGAGTTGCTTTGCCTGCACATAATGTAGCTGCCAAAACTACCATCCATGGACTTACACAATGCATTGTCTACTGTGATGGAATTTCATATAGCACTGCTTCTGACCAAGGAACACACTTTACAGCCAAAGGAGTGAGGCAATGGGCTCATGCTCATGGAATTCACTGGTCTTAAATGTTCCTCACTAGCCAGAGACAGCTGTATTGACAAAGTTGGCATGGCCTTTTGCAGATGACAGCACTAGGTAGGTGGCAATATCTTGTAGGGCTGGGGCAAGGTTCTTCAAAAGGCTTTTTGTGCTTTGGATCAGCATTAACTATATGGTACTCTATCTCCGAAAGCCAGGATTCATGAAGCCAGAAACCAAGGTGGAAGTGGGAATGGTATCACTCACCATTACCCCTAGTGATCCACTAGCAACATTTTTGCTTTCTGTTCCCGTGACCTTATGCTCTGGTGGCCTAGAAGCCTTAGTTCCAGAGGAGAAAAGGCTTGTACCACAACGAGGATTCCATTGAACTGTATACTGACTTCCCCCTGGTTATTTTGATCTCATACCTGTGAGTGAATAACCTTTGGCAGGGGTCATTGAGCAATATTATCAAGAGGAAATTGGACTATTACTCCGTAGTGGAGGAAAGGAAGCATATATTTGAAGTGCAGCAGATCTTTTAGGGCATCTCCTAGTATTACCATGCTCTCTCATTAATGTCAACAAGAAACTACAAGAACCCAATCCTTTTTTTTTTTTTTTGGTACCAGGAATTGAACTCGGGACCTTGGTGTTTGCCAGGCAGGTGCTTATGCTGCTGAGCTATATCCCCGGCAACAACCCAATCCCAGAAGGATGATAAATGGCCCAGAGCCTTCAGGAATGGAGATGTGGATCACCCAATCTGGAAAGAACCAAGACCTGCTAGAGTGCTTGTTGAAGGCTAAGGGAATTCAGAATGGGTAGTAGATGAAGGTAGTTCTAAATGTCAGGTACACCCCATGATCACTTACAGAACAGAGTACTGTAATTATAGGAGTTACCTTTCAATATGTATCCTATGTAGTATAATGTTGACAGTCCTAATACTGGCTCTTAAGTATTGTTAAACCCAGGTTATAGTATTTCAAAGTATGAAATATTAGGATTAAGCATTACCCAAAGAAAATATGCCTTCTATTCTTGGGAGGGAATTAGTGCATTTCTGTTTGTACCCTGAATAGTTGTATCCTATTAGGTGTAAATATGAATTTGTAATTGTGCCTGAAGACTAACTATGGTTTAAGAAAATGTGTCTGATTTTCAAGTTAAGAAGGGGTGGATTGTGATAGTTAACTGTTGCATCAACTTGAGTAAGAAATAGCCAGCTAATTGGATTAGCATAGTTACAGGTGTGGGTAAAGGGATTTACTGAAGAGAGAATCCTGCCTTGAGTGTGAGTGGTACCAACAAATAGGTTTATAACCTGAAAGGAATAAAAAGGGTTACAAAGAAAGAAGTTTCATTTTTGTTTCTTTGTAGGAGCTCCAGTGTTTATCTTCAATGTGGATGTCATCTCCTGGTTTCCAGTGCAGACTCTTCTGCCTTGCAGCACAGACTCCTTGGCCTCCTGATACAGACTGGCATGGGATACTACAGTGAGCTACAGGTCCTTGACCTCTGACTGGATCTTTGGATGTTCATCACACAGGCAGCCTGTTGCATTCTTCCTCACCTGTCTCTGCAGGCAGCCATTGTAAGTCTACCTTGTAAATCCTTATATATTTACATATCTTATATTAAATCTGTTTCTCTAATGAGCACTGAATGATACAGTCCCATTCCTTGTGGAAAGAAAACAGGCTCAAGATGTGCTGTTGTCAGCACTTGCATATTCTGTCCATTTATCTGTGCTGAGATGAGTTGGGGACAGTATTTATGCCCTAGCCCTCAGGAAGCCACTAGTCTCTAAAGGAAAAAAAAATCTAACTTTTAAAGTTCCATTTTTAGTGCCTGTTAAAATTCCTCCTTTGCTTATTTAAGCCATCAATCTTGAGGGCCCTGAGGTTCCATGTCATCTGGCTGGCTCTAATGTTGGATTAGTGTGTTGATTTTATCAAAAGTAGCTGGAGCATAAGAAAAGGAAATCCAGATGCTTAAGCCTGAAAAAATATCACTAAAATTGTGAAACAAATGCAAAGTAAGGCCATGCTCAGAGGATAGATGACCATTACACCTGCTAGAAAGGTTTTTGATTTAAAATACTCATGCTTAAGAACTCCTTTTCGTAACTTCTGCAGCTCTTACTTTCGTAGGATTGGCACACAGGTGACACTTTGATGCTTGTAACAATTTTCTCTTCCCCCCAAGTGCATTTTCTTCTTTACTAAAGGCATTTCCCATTAACTATCAGCAGCTTTGTCCCTTGGTGCCAAGGTAGTTTTTCTCTGTGATGGTCAATGGGAACATGTCCCACATTGGAGGAGATGTGACAGGTGGTTGGAGTCAGTGTCATAAAAACACTTCTTGCCAAATATGAGCAATAACAGAGATTTGGAAAGAGAGTCTCTTAGACTGAACTTACCTAGGGTCCGTTCTCAAGTCTTATCTTATCTACTTTGTACTCGACACCCTCACATATTAGAACTTTGACAAGCGATACTTGCACATGTTACAAACATATAAAACAAGCCAAAAGGAGCAAAATAATCCAGTCTGTACAGTAGACTTGTACTGAGAAATAGTGACCATGTTAATTAAAGAAAGCCAATATATCTGTGAAGCATGCATAGTTCTGCAAAAAAGGTATATCATGCAAATAAGAGTCCCCACTTCTTATAAACCAATGTGAATTATCATTTGGGAGAAAGTACACAATTTACTAATGACAAGACCAAAAATTAGAGTATAGTAACACCATTAGGATTATGTATGTACACGTACTATACTGCAAACAATTTTGAATACAGTATATAAAAACGCATATTATACCAACTAAGAACATGCATTTTGAGCAAGACCATCTCTTATTAACCAAGAGGAACTCAGCCATTGCCAGTTATGACTTTAAGCAATGAACAAGGTAACTGTTTACCAAAATGATTCAGTTACATTTATGGCATTTTAAGACAACGGTCATGACTGGCTGCTTTATACCAAGATAATAACATTTTTAAAAATAAGGAAATTCACATGACAGTAGTTTGTATAACCAGAATTGTAAAACAAAACTTTAAACAGATATCTAAAAATATGAATTTCCTAAGACTTAGTTTTTTCAAACATTTAATCTTAGCAGACAGTAAAGAGCACAAGAAATTATTTTTACAAATCTAAAACCTCTTTTTTAACATTCTTTTCTAAATTTTGCTAAGAAGAGATCAGTATTTTAACCATATTGTTTTGAACAAAGATACTGACATTATTTCTGTCCATTATATTTTTTATTTTAAAAAATATTTTTCTTAATAGATAATAATAATTAGAAAAGTTTTACCCAAAAGTTATACTATTAGCCTATATAATCAATTTAGAACAAAATATAGCTTTTGCATTATTGCAAAATTATGCCACCCTGTCACCAGGCTGAGTCCTAGTTTCCCAAACTTACCTACCCCACCTTTCCAGGCTCAGGGACTCCTGTCAGAGAAAAAGTATTTTCAGGACATGTCAGAAAGAAGAATGAGTAGTGTTTATTAGGCAAAGACAGCAAGTATCGCACACTCACGAGGGGAGTGTGGGCACTTAGGAAAATGAGATGCATTACAGTATGGAACTGAGTACATTTATACTTTTCTTGAGGGAGTGAAAAACTAGAGGAAAAAAGTGCACATCCCCACAAAAGGGTGCCAGCCCATTTAAAGACATCTTTTTTAAATAGGTGGTTTAAATATTCTCCGGATTTGCTCAACCTTTTGTTCACCTTTTTAATTGAACCAATTTATGGTTTTCTAGTGTTGGTTCTGGTAGGGAAGGAGTTTAAATCTGGCCAAGTTCTGTTGACACTGGAACAATGTTTATCGTAGGGCCAGGGCCCTATATCTTACTTTCTTAATTGAGTCAATTTATGACTTTTTAGTGATGGGTCTACTAAGAAAGAGGTGTAAATCTAGTGAAGGAATGTTGGCATGGGGCTCTTTTAGATTATTTTGGCTAAGCCCTGGAAATTGCATTCTTTTTTTTTTTTTTTTTTTGGTTTTTTTTCTGGTACCAGGAACCAAACTCACGACCTTGCACTTGCCAGGCAGGCGCTTTTGCTGCTGAGCTAAATCCCCAGCCCCTGCATTCTTCTTATTAAGTATAATTTTTAGTTCTGATTTTCTTGTCTCTTTTTCACCAATCTTTTATTTCATCTATCCTACCTTATCCTCCCAACTTTATTGCCTTATTCTTAAAGAGAGTGCAGAAGGCCCTGTGGTCTGACTTTATGTAACTTCATGCTGAAGAGGGGCACTGTTTGTGCCTAGCCAGGGACTAAGTCTTCTTCTGACTAATCTAAAGGACATATAGGAACATCAGATTTTGCCATTTGTAAAATCATCACTCTTGAATAGTCTGAACAAGACGGCAGGGGCATGCATGACATTAACCCACAACAACATGGAACAAAAGAATTCCAATGCACAGTATCATAGCCAGAGAAATGAGCACTTTTTTCCACCAGTTTGTTCCAGAAAACCAGGATAGTAGCTAGTCATCAATGCTAATGGCAGAGTCTGGTTTTGAGACCAATCTGTGAATATAGATGTTGCAATGCAGAAGACATATTTATAGAGTTGTCAGTAATGTACACACAATATTCTGTTTTGATAATGGCACAGATTCCAAATTCTGCTGCTGCAAGAATGTCTAAATCCATTTGATTTTGTAGAATGGCTTTTCAAAATCACTTTTTTTTTTCTTTTTTTTCTTTTTTTATTTTAAAGATAAAAGGAGGGAAACATTAACAGACATACAACATTTTACAACATATCACAAGCACAATACAGACAATACAGAGTTACAAACAAAGTGG